GCGGCCAGATAGAGTGGGTGTCGAGGCTTGAGGACTGATTTGGAGATTCCTGAAGATGTCGGCACCATGTGACGAGCAGATGCTGCACGCAAAACCGATACACGACGGAGTCGTCAGTCCTAAGTGCTGGGCCTACAAGGAGAGAGTTATTAATGAGGTGGGGAGAGGGGGAAGAAAAAGTATGTGAAGGAGAAAGAAGGGAGGCGTCAGCAGTAGCCTGTTTTCGCTTACCCGCCCTGCTGTATGCAGCAAGTAAGGCGACCCGGCTGATGGCACCACCCGACGACCGATGTGGCATGAGTTTATTTGTGTATGTGCAGTTCATGGTTGTACGTGGGCTGGGATACTGCCAGGGCGCCCACACCTAGACAGGAGAATGGTTAGAATCCTCAACCAAAGCCCTTGGCTCAAAAGCCTAACCGCAAGGCAGCGGTGTTTGGCGGGGAAATGCAAATGCATTACCTTTTGTACGGAACAAGTCGCCACATGTTCCAACCCCCAACCTGGAGGGCCAGATTGTTCGTCAGACCTCTAACCATTGACAAACCTGGTGTGAGAGACTCTGTGAGTGTCGCGGGATACTCTCCAGTATAGCTCAATGGATCGCTGAGGTGCGCAAACCGTCACACCACGGTAAGGTCCAGTCTCTTCGTGACGGGACGGACAGGCTAATTTCGAATGAAAAGTTGCTATCGCCGAATTAGAGGTTATTTCAAATTGTGCGGGCACTTGTGAACGCTTACAAAGAACAGTGCAGGGGAGACCGCTTACGTGGACCCGGTCGAGGAAGAGGCACAACTTGGGATCTGCGATCAACGCCAACGTCGGCCTAATTCTGCAATGGACACCGAATGGCCTGAAGCCCTAGACCTAGATATTTGTTCACTCGGAGAGGGCAATTATTCCAGCTAGACTTTCGGAGCCTTCCCGATGCAATTATGGTCTTCGATATCTATGGCCTCAACGGCTTTCATCGTTTGGCTGGTGGTTAAAATGCAGTTGCGGTAGCAGAAGCCGGGGAAAATACCCCCTATAAAGCAAAAATTTCACAAATATTCAGATTCGAGCCAAAAAGGAGTGCTGCAGGCACTAGTGTTGCCAGTAGGTGTTGAAAGCCCATATCAAAATGTGTCAACAAGGTAAAATAATCAGAAGGCAAAATACGGTCCTTCGTGTCATGTAGTGACGTTCGTTTCGCTAGTGAGCATCTTGAATCGGTCAGGCGACCATTCGGACGATATTTAACTCAGAAACCTTGTTCCGTATTCCAACACATCTGGGCAGCTAAATACAGCTGGCGCTACGAAGCAGAATTGCTTCACCTCTTTGTCAAGACTGAAACCTACGAACGTGTTTTCAGTGTCCAAACCTTCATCTCATGGTGAAAAGATGTGGCGACATTGAAGAGTTTGTTCGAGTGTTCAACACCTTTGAAAAACGATTCACAATGTTCCCCTATTCACTGAACCTAAATCCCTGTCAGTTCAATGAATGGGAACTATAGTAGTTGGTTACGTTTGCAGCAGTCCTCTTATATTTGGCTCGCTTAGAAAATTTGAGCAGGGTAGCTACGCAGGCTTTGGGGTATACACTGACCCTGTGGAACGGTTCCATTCGGAATATCCACGCCCAAAACCAACCAACATTTTGTCGGAACCGATTCTACGGTAATTGTGTCATTTGAATGAGGGAACCAAGAGAGCGTACTTGCAATCCTACGGAAAACCAACTTCCCATATTGAACGAATTAGATGGAGATACTTGTACTGTAGTGTTTGTTGAACCAATTGGACAGTTCAGCGGATAGTTCACCGTTTCTGAAAACCTTCCTATTCTGCGTTTGCGGAATTGCTGTCAGTCCATACTATTATTCTCCTCATGTTATAGCAGTCGATTCACTTGATCCTATTCGACTTTTGACGGACAGTTGAGCCTTGGATCGGTCTGGACGTTCTGAAAAATTCGCAGATATTAGGTTCTTTTTCAATGCTTCTTCAGTGCTCCAGTGCCAACAACATCAGTAGCACCAACAAGCTCCAGGGCTAACACATGGGGTTCATCCATTACTGTTGGAACTACTTCTGTACTCACCACCCTGAAAAGTGACACTTTATCATTTTGTGAACTGTTAGCCAGTAGACATGATCCAATACTGGCAGATGAAATAAACATGCAAAACTCTCTCCTGGGCGAACCTTCCATTCGCCCTGAGGTCGTCGCTTTAATTTCCACGCGGTAACAGGTCAAAAAATGCCTGTTATAAACACAGTTACTACGAACAGGGGGTTCTACCTTGCTAAAAACAAACCGCCTGCCCGCATCGACGGCGCCGGTCATCTGTCGACACGTAGCACTGATGTGTCAGACTTTTGGTGTATGACAGCGTTCTGCCCACTTGTAGCCCGTTGCCTTACGCTAGCGTCCCTCATTTGCTAGACCCAGCCATGAGAATGAAATTTAAGAACCTTTGACACTGCATAAATTTACTGTGATATTTCCTCCGTCGGGACACCCATCACAGTGTAGATCTCACAGACTGGCACCACCGTGGCCTCAAACGAGTAACGCCTGGTACTCATCGGTTTTGACCATGCCCCGGATGGGGTTGCGTAACAGCCCCGGTCTTTGGATACCGGATTAGTTGACCGTATATTCATTTAGTAACACTTGGTTTTCATAGCCTTGCTAAAGGATCCGCATTTCAACTTTGTAAGACACGTATTCACCGTGATCAGGCAATATGAACGGTAGTCACGCCCACTTCAGTTGTGTAGCTGCAAATGGTTGTTCGTCTGGAGAGCTGGTTTTTGCATTGTGCAACTTCTTGACCAGGTTAGTGTGGGCGAACAACATCAACCCATCCACTCAGATGCCATTGTAATGCAGGAGGTGTCCGTTTATACTCCCAGACAAAGGTGATTGCTAAATCTTTGCTTTCTATTACACGTCATCTCATCGGTTTGACCATGCCCCGGAGGGGGTTGCGGAACAGCTCCGGTCTTTGGATACCGGATTAGTTGACCGTATATTCATTTAGTAACACTTGGTTTTCATAGCCTTGCTAAAGGATCCGCATTTCAACTTTGTAAGACACGTATTCACCGTGATCAGGCAATATGAACGGTAGTCACGCCCACTTCAGTTGTGTAGCTGCAAATGGTTGTTCGTCTGGAGAGCTGGTTTTTGCATTGTGCAACTTCTTGACCAGGTTAGTGTGGGCGAACAACATCAACCCATCCACTCAGATGCCATTGTAATGCAGGAGGTGTCCGTTTATACTCCCAGACAAAGGTGATTGCTAAATCTTTGCTTTCTATTACACGTCATCAGTTCTGTTTCCTTGTTGCCATATTTGCATAATTTTGCCTCTCCATGGAATCCTCCTTTCAGCGCCCGAGTTTTTTCGTCTTTTTGTCGGAGAAGGCTGTACAGTAACTCCCAGGTTGTATGTCCTTCGAATTCGTGTGTTATCTCAATTTGAAATGCGGTTGATGTTTTGTTTCCCCACCCTCTCCTGTAGTCCCACTGCCACAAGTACTATCGCGTATTTATCCTTGGTTCCGGTCGCCCACGATATATCGATTAATGTTGCTTCCGAAGTATAGCTTCCTCATTTTCGTGGGCCTGATATGTCTCTCATTGGACCAAACCGAATTTCTACACCACATATCTAACTTGTTGAGGTTTTGCTACGCAAAGATAGTGTGAAACGCGGTTCCATATGGCGTCAACGCCAAACAGAAGCACTGAAGATTACAAGACTAGAATGTGTCCCCACCCAGCGAGAAAATCGAACTGGAGTGGGCAAAAATGAAGCATTTGCAAACCATACACAATTGACTTACATTAGTACCCTTCGTTTGCTTATCGGTTGAATCTGAATGAGAACACACGAACTCTGTGGAATCCAACTGGTGGGCGTGCCCTGCGCTTACACTCGCGGCTTTCCAAAACACTTTGGATCGAAGAAGAGCTTTCAGCAAACACTTTTTTATACCAAAAACCTTTAAAAAGAAATGATCAATGGTAACACTAGGTTTACATCAATTTTCTGTTCATCAGAAAGTATTCTGAAAGTCGGGTCAGCGCACACATGCATACTGACCGAAAGTAGCTCGTGCTCATTATGTGTAATGAGTGCCTTCACCTAAAAATTGCTTGACAGTGAGTGAAAATGCGAACAAACCTTGGAAGAGAAATCGACTATCCGGAGAACAACCGAGGTATCGGTGTCACATTCGAGAGGTTTTAGTTGACATTTGAGTATTAACAAGGGAAAATATACATCTATTTTTGTAAACTGATGCAATACTAATGGGTTAACTTGAATTACCGATTCGTCGAACTCGCCAGATCTCATCGTATCAGCTTGAGTAAGATGCAAATTAAGATGTGGCTGAGGTTCAATGGAATGCAGAAGTATGGGAAGTTCGTCCTGAGACAAAAGTGAGCTAGATTGTGTAATATCCGTACTTGGAA